AGCAGAGCACAGGCTAATACTAACGTTCTCCATAACTTCTGTCAGCTTCAATGTAGCTCTTCCTCATATTTCCATAAACACAATTTCCCAACTTACATACCTTTCTCGTCTGTGCTATAGTCAACATATCTAGCACTAAAACTCTTCCCAGCAAACACAGCTAACTGTTGTACAGATCAGTTGTGCTATAATCGACATCTTAAACATGTCAACTGTCTTCTTTCACTTCGGGTTCGCAACTGACCAAGAGTCAACCTCTGGTCTTTCCTCTCATGTCTCTTTAGCCTTAGGTATTTTGTGCCACATTTATCTTTCACGAGCTCTCTGCCCCTTTTATTTTTTTTAATCGCCAGCTACCATGCAAAGCAGGGTCATCACATTAAATATACAATAGCTCTTTTTAAATACTCGAAGGATTTAACTTTCATGTGAAATATTGTTTATGTATCACATAAATTATTGAACTTTAAATATATATCATTGATAGAATATTCTGGTGTAGCCTGTGAGCTGGAGAAGGACCAATGTGCTGGTGATCCATGTCATGGAGGAATCTGTACTCAGAACCATCTGACCTATGTGTGTGATTGCAGTAATGGTGAGTGGTTGCATTTATATGTTTCATGAGTTGGTTCTGACAATCTCTTGATTCTGCTCAGTGTCACAGTAGGCATATGTGCATGAACAGTATAATTATTTAGGGAAATATATACACTGCTGATTTTTTAAGCATTGGTCAGCACATAATTGTTGGTAATACACTTAAATCTACGCTGCATAGCATTTTCCACCTTATCTATTTTTCATGCAATCATCGTTATCATGTGTCATGCTGATAAATGTAGGCGATTATTGTTCAATATCCCCCATGATCACCAAAATCACAGACCAGGTCAGTGCTTTTATCCCACACCCTTCAGTGTGCCAAGCCATCCAAGTATGTATCTTTTGTTCTTCTATTGGATATTTTGCCATCAGCTTTGTCAGTTGTCATATGGTTTCCATGTCAAAACACAAGAAAATTAAGAAAATGACAAGGTTCTGCTCATCCCATTCTGCATTTGTTGTGTGATTGTCAAAATGTAGACACTGAATAAAACAGATGACAGAGAAGAATTATTTGACCTGAATATAATGTTACCAGCTTTTTCTTCTTCTCCTTTTTACACCCTTAAATTGACGTTTGCTATGTATTGTTGTGGTTTACAACTTGACTGAGATATCTATGCCTTTTGGCCCGGCAGACTGGTAATTATTTACCTTTTATGACATGCTTGATCCTACTTTGTAAGGTTCCAACATAGGGCCCTTGAACCCACACAGAGTGATACCATATCTGAGAACTATGTTTATTTGGAACAGGCTGGCAGTGACTATCTGATTAATCATGTACATGGACACTGACAAGCAAAGTATGAGATAGTCTGTGGGTTCTTCTCAAAGTCCATGCCGTGTGGCGTTGGTAGTTATGTCGATCCACAACCTTGTCTCATGTACTTTCAATCAACTCTGACATAGTTGGTCCTCCATGCCATGATGTCAAACTGTCCAGCATCTGTTCTCTCGCTCTCCCACTGCCTCTCCTCCTCTTTAGCTTTCCACCTGTCACGATGTACTCCAGTTTTCTCTTTCTCATCATATCGACAAAAGATTGTCGATAATCAAGGGGTAATTTGTTAAATATATCATATTCGGGTTTACAACTACACACGGTACTATATCTGCATGATAACTCTCAAATACCTCTTATCTGAAGACTCCTGCTGTGGGTTCTAGACACCAGTGGATGGGGGGAGGGGGAAATAGACCCACTGCCCATAATTTAGATTCCTGAAATAAAGCAGTCAGTATACTAAAGAAAGAGACAGCTATAAATGATGGGCTCCAACAGAATACAGAAATTTAGCCATTTAGCTTTCCTGTCAGCAAACAGCAAATTCTTCTTTGTTTTTTTTTTTTTCAATGTGAAAAGAGCATTCAACTTTATTGTTATATATTATATTTCAGTTAAAAATTATGGTGGCAGACACTGCAATGAAACAAAACATTCATGCAGCCAATGTCCAAAGAGCACAACATGCCTACAATTTAAAGACCAGGATGGCTATATGAAGCCTGCTTGTATGTGCCCTGCGAATAAAATTCTCGTCGGAGACACTTGCAAAAGTAAGTTTTCAGGTTCTGTGTGCACTGAGTGTCTTATTGTTGTACTTGTTATCATTTCAACTAACATGGGATGCAGAGGTGTTGAATCACAACTGGTGGTGTACCCCAACCAGGGCTCATACTGGTAAAATCCTATCTACACCTCTTCATGGTAATCCTAGAAACAGGTTGGCCGCTGGGGGAGGGGGGATGGGAGGCCTGGCTAAGGTAGATAGGATCAGCACTTCCTCTGGTGAGAGTGCCTGAGCAGCAAGGAACAAGTATTCTGCAAACTCAACAGATTGATCTGTAAAACAAAAGTGTATGCAACACTAAAGTCCTAGAACAAGGCTAAAGACTAGAAGTGAATGAAAAAACCAGAACTTTCTGTTGGAGCTTACAGCAGGTAAACACTAACCAGAAGAAGAAGTATTTAAACTAGCCTAATGTTTAACATCAAATATTTAGTCAGTAATAGGGTGGTTAGGGAAAATAGGTGCTGGTACTCACTACAAACTATCAGTAAAAGTAATAGTAAAAAAAAAAAAAAGAAAAAAGATGCCTCAAAGAAAACATGTGCCAGCACTTTGTACTGTTGCATGCAGTTAGAAAAAAATCCTGGTCCTTTTTTCTGTTTGGTTTTATGCAGATGGACTAGCGACAACTAAAGACTAACAATAAGCCTGATGCGAAAGCATATATTTGTTTAAGAAGTCTATAATTCACTTCAAAATGACATTTGTATATACTTAAATATGCACCTATTGTTTTATCTAAGAATTTATCTTCCATCAGTATTTGTTTATATTTAGTTTTCAGAATGTCTACTTTATCGATTGTATTAAATTTTAAAAAGTGTGAAGTTGCCTGAATTTGGAGTTAAGTTTGGCTCCAGCAAGAGATTATATTTGAGATTTTAAAAGTGCTACTAGAACAATATGTATACAATTTCTGCACCATTTGCTGCAGTAGACAAGAGCATCCATGGGTAATCCTGGTATGTCATGCTGATGATCCTTAAATCAGTAATTAGTAATTTCTAGTCATTAAAACCTGGGAGACGAGAAAGAGAATTCTTAAAAGCTATATCCTATGCTGCGGAGATGTGGTATTACAGACGAATGATAGAATACTCTGGACAGATAAACATAGTAATTTAGATGTCCTGAAGAAAACAGACTCACTGAAGAGAATTGATTGCCTACACCAGAATAAGAGAGTCTGTATTCTTTAATGATGTCATAAGAAGGAGAAAACTAAAAATACATTGTAAAAGTTAGACTGGAAGAGACTCAGAAGCAGACAGAGGATGCTGGACAGTTTGACATCATGACATGCAGGATCATCTGTGTTAGAGTTAACTGATAGTACATGAGACTGAAGGTTTAGGTGGACATGAATACCAACACCACACAATTTAAGAAAAAGAAAACTTGGGAGTTAAAGAGCCGTGACCCTACAATGCATACTATGAACACAAATATAATCCCTTAGCGCTTTTACTTACAGCAGTTGACAGGGACTATGATCTTGCATTCCTGGAAAGCTTTGCCAACAAAGGAACTTTTGTGACTTCTGAAAGTGGGTTTTACTTGGACAAGAACACCAGTCTGAGTGTCAGCATGTGGGTGGCTGCAGCTAGACCACTGGCTGATGATCAGTTCTTACTTGCACTGAGGAGGTAATCACTTGTTTGATCTAGTAAATGAAAATGATGTCCTGCCTTCTGTTTATTCTTTATCTCCTCTACTGCCTTATTTTTATTTATTGCATCTAACTACCTCTGAGACTACTACCACCCATGGGCCCTTTCATGGCCCTGAAATTGATCGAAGAAGCTACATCACCATAGTGCCCCCCTCCCATGAGCAACAGTGCCTTCTTTTGTCCAGCCACTACTCTGTGGTGACTCCCACTGCTAAAAGAAAATGATAGTTACTGTCAAACTTCAAGCTTGCATAGTTTTTCTTTTAAATTTATTCTTCAAGGCATTTTTAAAAAAAGGTGTTAAGTGAAATAACTCCAATGGCAGTTAATGTTTAATGACTGTGACATTAGTTTGCACAGGACGTATAAGACATTTTGAAAGTGCTAGTTAACCCAGAAATGACAGCCAGTATGTTTTGTGCATATTTCACATCATTACTGTTCCCTGTTTGGAGTTCTTGTGACAAGTGAACATACAGGCACATGGATTTCCAATTTCACAGTATAGATATGACCCCATCCTAACACACGTCCACGACCACTTAACATCTGCTCATTCAAGCACAAGCATAAAGAAGAAAGTATAGAGAGCGAATGAATGTTTTTTACTGTCAATATGTACAAGTTCCTCATTTCTCCTTCGCTTGTCTGTTTTTATAAATTGAAGGGACTGTGTGGTCTTGTGGCATGGCATCGACATCGAATGCTGTAGGTTCCAGGTTCAAGCCCTGGTGAAGGTTTACATTTTTTTTTTTCACTTTTTCACGTGGACTTCTAGTAGTTTGCCTTGGTCTCTGGGTAGTAAGATCGGACGCCTGTGTGTATTGATGCGCACGTAAAAAATCCTCGGCTGTTGAAAATCGAAAAGAGTAGCCTAACGGCGCTGCCTGGGCTAAATTTGGAGTTAAAAATCTACCCAAATTATTTCAAGATCATTGCCGGTGCTACAAAGTTTGTGCACTGCTCTGAGATTCTTCGAACTCAGGCTTTAGTCAGAAGTAGAACGGAGCACTTAAGGATTACTACCCTTGTTCCATGATGTTGATCCGTCGCCTAAACCTAAACCATTTTTTTTACCCTCAACATATTTTTATTTGTTCCTAATTTAACAGCTGTTCCTTATTTTATTTATTTTTTTCAGTTCTGAGATGGACAGCCCTTTCCTGTCAGTCTACAATACAAGGGTGGAGTTTACAACGAATAAACAAATTTCTATAGAGTTGACTGAAGATATAGGCCTGAAACATTCACTGGACAAATCATTCACCTGGCATTTTCTGTCTATTGTTTGGACCACCAATGGAAGTGTAAAGATTACTTTTGATTTTGTAACAGTAATTGAGACAACAATACCAGCAGTGCCACCGTCTGATGTGTAAGTGCATGTTTTGTGGGGTTAGATTCGTGTACAGACATATTCCAGACAGTGGATTTTCTTCTTATGCATTAGCCCTTAAAAGGAGTTCTGGTAATTTTAATTGACGTTTACAGCTTGGCTTTGATATCTGTTCCTTACGGCCCAAAAAGTAAACTAGATAGTAGTATACAGTGTCACCACTGGCCATCATTAGAAATGCAGGTAAAGGCCCATGAAGAGAAGCAGTGGGAAAAGCGTTAGGTACAGCACCGTTAAATCTGAGAGGGAAGCAATTAATATACAATTACTGCCTTCAGACCGCACACAATCATGATCATCTAGCATGTGATGCTTTTAAAACCAATACAAATGAGTTTAAGGGGGTGCCAGTAACAACCATTTTTTCAGGCCAGCAGGATGAGATGCTGCAGTAGGGATGAAAACTAACAAGGAACTAGCAAGGAGAGAGAGAGAGTGTGATATAAACCTCAGATACCACATGGGAATTGAAACCACCATATGTAGACATGAGCCTAGCAAAACAGATTTCACAAAACACTAGTCCACTTCAAGTAAGGACCATAGAGGAGCCGCACGTCAGAAACTTTGAGACTAATAGCTTTATAATATACATGGATGGGGCCACAAATAAGAAAGGAGGAGTAGAAGCAGGTAGTTATATTCCTTATTGGAAAAAAAAGAAAAAATCTTAAATCAGTTTTTGCTCCCAAACAGTCAGCACAATGAAAGCCTTAGAGATAGCAGAAAATCCCCTGTTTAAATTGATGATAATGACAGATTCTCTTTTGTCTGTACAACCACTATAAAACTAGCAAGGGAAGCAGATCATACATTAAAGAGGAGATATTAACACTAACCACACAACTTAGGAACAACAGATACCAGATCACAATAGCATGGGTTCCTGCTCATAAAGGCATAGTCAGTAATGAAAAGGTGGATATTTTAGCATAAGAGGTACAAGCAGACATAATATAATAGAAACAGACCTAGGAAAATCTGAAGGAAAGAGTCAAATCATATTACAGGAATGTGGAAGAGACAGTGGGAAATGAGTGCTACAGGCAGAAGGGTGTGCGATTATTTGAGTCACAGTCAACCTAAAAACTCCAGCAAATAACAAATTAAGACTTGGATACTGGAAAGCCAAATTTACAGCACACTTTTGCCTAGTTTGCTTTCAGGAAAATGCAATAGACCACTTCCTGCTAATATGCACCCTATATAAACAGGAAAGAAAATCCCTGAAAGACTTTTAAAAAACTAAATAAGTCATTGACCTCCAAGGAATGCTTACATGTTGACAGTAATGATAATATACAGAAACAAGTAAAGAAATTCATTTCCAGGACACGTAAAAATAAATTAATCTCTATAGATAAAGTTATAAAAAGACAGAGACAGTGAGGTGAAAAAAAAAGAATTGAGGAAGGTGAGATATAAAAGAGAAGGAATTAAATTCCATGAAAAAATCTAATTATGCTAAGACTGTGTCTATCTATCCCCTTATAGTAGTGGATCCTAAGAAAGTCTCACACATATACATACTAAAGACACATACTTGTAACTAAGGTGCAAATAGTAGGAAATAAGTATATCATATACAGCACTAGTTCTCATTTAAGGCTGAGTTGACCTGGGAGCTAGAGTCATTAAAATGATCTGAATCTATGGCCCTCTGATCCACAGGTGAGCATCTGGTCACTACGCCATGGTGACTTGCTTAAGTGTATGTATGTATATATGTATACACGTGTGTGTACGCAGACACGTAAACATGCATTTTTATATATTTTCAGTCTGAGCATGGCTGAGAATAAGAATGGTTAAAGTATATTCGGTGGAAGAAAATACCAGTCACTGGAACAGAGCAGGAGTCTCTGCTTAATATTCGCAGTGGCCAGGGCCTTTTTTGCTGACAGACCTTAGCGTGCCTATGTTATTACATGGTCAATGTGTTCGTTACAGAACAGATTGGTACTTCCCAGCACATTCTGTCTACAAACAGGGGTGATGGTAGATAACACTAGAGATAATTGACTTATGCTGTTAGAGTCACCTGGTCAAGTGGCAAATCTAGTGACTTGTCCATCATTCAGCAAATACCAGCTTCCTCCAGATCTTATCCATGTTTGTTGGTGATGACATTGCCTCATTTGCAGCCTGTGACATTAAAGTCCCTGTAAGGGCTGTTTCTTTCTGCAGGCACAAACACTGTTGCACATCCACCTTCCTATTGTAGTTGTAAATATGGAGGATCATGAACTGGTTAGAAGCCAGTACTCTGACTGCATGCACTTGTAGAACATCACTGTTCCATGAGACATTTCAACCTTGGACAACCAGCAGTTGATACAAACAGTAATGACCTCTCTGAGATGCTACCGATTGTAGAAGCATTGAAATCCCACAGCACTGACTGTCTCATTGCCCAGACTCGTTTCCTGCAAGACTATGTTGTCACTGCCACAAAGAAGCTATTCAAAAAACTGGTAACCTTTGACAAAATGAGGAACAGTTCCAGTATAACATGTGAACGTATTTTGGGTTCCAGTTTTAAAAGTTTCCTGCACACACCAATTTGCCCGCGGTTGCTCTTTTTGTCTTTTGTCTGGTGGCCATGTTGAATTTCATCACAGAATGCTGATGAAAAGCCAGTAGGACTGGATACAGTTGCAAGGACTCCATGGCATGGTTAAAAACTCTGTTCCACCTAAAATCTCACATTAAACACATCTGTCTAAAAAAAAAGGTACCCTTCATCTTAATGGAGTGGGCCGCCAATCGTGTTTGTTTACAGCAAAGTTCTAGTTGCCATTTATGGCATGCTTATTAGTAAGTGTATCTATCCCCACACACTAACAAAATAAGGCCCCGGAAGCTATAAGGGGACATGAGTTCATGTTTTTGCTCCTAGCGAGTGTCAACCCAACTTGTAGAAGTAGACTCTAGACAATTTCCATAATTGTCTGGAAAGAAAAGGCAAGAAGAAAGAGAACAGGCTCCCTCACCTGTCACGTAATGGCCAAAATATGTGAAGACCTGTTAATTCACACTCCAGTGGCAGTAACGTCTATGGAAGTACCTTTTAGGTTAGTTGTGTATCCTTTAGAGCCTCAACATTTCTTGGCTGTTTGTGGTTTTACTAGGCAATTTTAGGTCAGTAGTTTGCCATTGTTTTCAAATGGTTGGATCTTGATACCTTTGTCCAACTCAACTCAAAGCTGTTTTCGTTGCCAAATCACCCTCAGCTGGAATCGAACCAGATATCTCGGAATTACAAACTTTGGTCGTAGGTTTCCCACTATATTTTACAAATACTTAGAAATTATCTAATTAATTAATTGTCGGCATCAATGGCTTAGGCATTGCGAACGGGTATTGTAATGCCGGGGTACTGGGTTCCAGCCCAGCTGCAGACACTTTGGCAGTAGACCGTCCTGCGTTGGTTTTGACAATGATACTGAGAGATGACCGTTCAGAAGGCAATGGCAGATAATGTTTACATGTTGACAGTAATGATAATATACAGAAACAAGTAAAGAAATTCATTTCCAGGACACGTAAAAATAAATTAATCTCTGTAGATAAAGTTATAAAAAGACAGAGACAGTGAGGTTAAAAAAGAAAGAATTGAGGAAGGTGAGAAATAAAAGAGAAGGAATTAAATTCCATGAAAAAATCTAATTATGCCAAGACTGTGTCTATCTATCCCCTTATAGTAGTGGATCCTGAGAAAGTCTCACACATATACATACTAAAGACACATACTAGTAACTAAGGTGCAAATAGTAGGAAATAGGTATATCATATACAGCACTAGTACTCATTTAAGGCTGAGTTGACCTGGGAGCTAGAGTCATTTAAAAAAAAAATTCAAGTCCGGCTCCATCGGGATCTGAATCTATGGCCCTCTGATCCACAGGTGAGCATCTGGTCACTACGCCATGGCGACTTGCTTAAGTGTATGTATGTATATATGTATACACGTGTGTGTACGCAGACACGTATACATGCATTTTTATATATTTTCAGTCTGAGCATGGCTGAGAATAAGAATGGTTAAAGTAAATTCGGTGGAAGAAAATACCAGTCACTGGAATAGAGCAGGAGTCTCTGCTTAATATTCGCAGTGGCCAGGACCTTTTTTGCTGACAGACCTTACCGTGCCTATGTTATTACATGGTCAATGTGTTCGTTACAGAACAGACTGGTACTTCCCAGCACATTCTGTCTACAAACAGGGGTGATGGTAGATAACACTAGAGAAAATTGACTTATGCTGTTAAGAGTCACCTGGTCAAGTGGCAAATCTAGTGACTTGTCCATCATTCAGCAAATACCAGCTTCCTCCAGATCTTATCCATGTTTGTTGGTGATGACAGTGCTCCACTGGCAGCCTGTGACATTAAAGTCCCTGTAAGGGCTGTTTCTTTCTGCAGGCACAAACACTGTTGCACATCCACCTTCCTATTGTAGTTGTAAATATGGAGGATCATGAACTGATTAGAAGCCAGTATTCTGACTGCATGCACTTGTAGAACATCACTGTTCCATGAGACATTTCAACCTTGGACAACCAGCAGTTGATACAAACAGTAATGACCAGTCTGAGATGCTACCGATTGTAGAAACATTGTAAACCCACAGCACTGACTGTCTCATTGCCCAGACTCGTTTTCTGCAAGACTATGTTGTCACTGCCACAAAGAAGCTATTCAAAAAATTGGTAACTTTTGACGAAATGAGGAACAGTTCCAGTATAACATGTGAACGTATTTTGGGTTCCAGTTTTGAAAGTTTCCTGCACACACCAACTTGCCTGCGGTTGCTCTTTTTGTCTTTTGTCTGGTGGCCATGTTGAATTTCATCACAGAATGCTGATGAAAAGCCAGTAGGACTGGATACAGTTGCAAGGACTCCATGGCATGGTTAAAAACTCTGTTCCACCTAAAATCTCACATTAAACACATCTGTCTAAAAAAAAAAGGCACCCTTCATCTTAATGGAGTGTGCCGCCAATCGTGTTTGTTTACAGCAAAGTTCTAGTTGCCATTTATGGCATGCTTATTAGTAAGTGTATCTACCCCCACACACTAACAAAATAAGGCCCCGGAAGCTATAAGGGGACATGAGTTCATGTTTTTGCTCCTAGCGAGTGTCAACCCAACTTGTAGAAGTAGACTCTAGACCATTTCCTTAATTGTCTGGAAAGAAAAGGCAAGAAGAAAGAGAACAGGCTCCCTCACCTGTCACGTAATGGCCTAGAATATGTGAAGACCTGGTAATTCACACTCCAGTGGCAGTAACGTCTATGGAAGTACCTTTTAGGTTAGTTGTGTATCCTTTGTATCCTTTAGAGCCTCAGCATTTCTTGACTGTTTGTGGTTTTACTAGGCATTTTTAGGTCAGTAGTTTGCCATTGTTTTCAAATGGTTGAATCTTGATACCTTTGTCAAACTCAACTCAAAGCTGTTTTCACTGCCAAATCACCCTCAGCTGGAATGGAACCACATATCTCGGAATTACAAACTTTGGTCGTAGGTTCCCCACTATATTTTACAAATACTTAGAAATTATCTAATTAATTAATTGTCAGCATCAATGGCTTAGGCATTGCGAACGGGTATTGTAATGCCGGGGTACTGGGTTCCAGCCCAGCTGCAGACACTTTGGCAGTAGACTGTCCGGCGTTGGTTTTGACAATGATACTGAGAGATGACCGTTCAGAAGGCAATGGCAGATAATGTAAAATTTACCTAGAAAAACCGCAACAACCAAAAAATGTTGGGGTTGGTTCTGCAATATACTGTAAAGGATACACAGCTACCTTTTTTTTCAAAATGTTTTACTTGTAGTTTATTATTTTGCTATTTCTGAGTAATTTGTCTGAATGGTTTTAAATTGTTGCACTATCTAATTTGAATATGCAGACTTGTTTCTTTTCTGCCGGTTAGCATGCAGTAAAGCTTGGATCCTCAGTTAATTCATTCCAAACACTTCCTTCCTTCTTACTTGTGTAGTTCCTTTCATTCTTCCTAATGAGGGTAATCTCTTATCTTTAATTCTATTCTCCATGTAATCTAAATCTATATTTTTTGGGTCTGTGTGTTCTATAATAAAGAGTTTACAGTAGTGGTACTGTCATGCTCCTTAAATTAGTATCTCAACTAGGCAACATGTTTTTTCTTTTTTTCTCTATTAATTCTCTTGTATTTGATTAGTTTACTCTGGGAACTTCATGCTTGTGATGTTTAGCCCTTTTATTCTGTTCAGACATTTTTTAGTGATTTTTGTCATTTGTTATTATGTAACGTTGTTGTTATTCTCGATGTGCCAGACCCATACTGCAGTTTTGATTGCATGCTGCAGTTACAAATATAAGTTTGATATTGGTTTTCATGTATATAATTTTGCGAATGCAATGAAAGCTTCTGTTTCTATTTGTATTTTATTTTAATGATTTTATGAGTTTCCTGAAATGTGTCTATACATTGCTGTCTAAACATATGAATTTTTCCACATACTGATGTTTATTTTTGTTAAGTAATCATTATTGTGTGTGTGCTCAGTTTGTGAATCTTTGAAACTTTGTTGTTCATTCATATTTTATTTCCTGTCTGTTCTCTCGTCTGCGTTTTATTCATGTTCAGTTGTTTCTTTCTCTCTCCTTCTGTTTCAGCTGCTTCCCTTTCTGATTCATCCTCATAATTTGCATTTCTCTCTCCTCCCTCCTCCTCTTGTAATTCAGACAAAGTTTTTTACATGCTTATCTAATTTAAAACTTGTCACCTTGAAATCGGGCATTTGTCTCGCTTTCATCATCATCACAATGTACCATGCTGATAAGCGTAGACAGTCATGTTTCCCATCATCCCCAACGATCATTAGAATAATTGATTAAGTCAGTGATTTGTCTCACCCTTTTCACGTAGCTAAGAAATTTATCTTGTTGCCATTCTCTTGCTCTCTTTCTATTAATTTTGCCAGTTGTTACCTATTTCTTGAATCTGCTTCTTCTCCTAACAAGTCTGAAAAACACTAAGTTTTCAAATCAGTTTATGACTGTCATCTGCCTCAAGGAGGACTGGCTCATTTGTTTCCATGATATTCTTTGCATTCTAACTTAAAAATCACATCTCTGTAATGAGAAAACATTTTTTTTCCTTCAGAGTGTCTCACATGCACATAACGACATATGTATTATATAACAAGTTGAAATATTTCCTACAATATCAATCAATCTATATTTTATAATGCTTTTGTTAAATTTGTCTATACTACAGATTTGTGTTCGTAGACCTTGGACAATCATTCTATGGATACATGTCCCAAGTATCAGTCTGGAAAACAGCTCTCACTTCTGAAGAACACTTTGACATGTTCACAGACAAGCTTGCCGTTCCTCAGCCAGACAGTCTACTTCTAGGGTGGACCCAGTATTCCTTTGATAGTTCAGTGAAAATAACAAGGAGTTCCACAGCAGCAAGATCACTTTCGATTTGCGACATTCAAAATACCATTGCAAAGATGGGTCTCAATAGTCCAGCTTGTAAACATATCAAATTTACAGGTAGTTGTCTTCTATTATTTGACTTGTCATTGTGGTGGTAAGTCTGATAAAGCATTGAATGTGATCACTGGTCCTATTAGAACAATATAAACATAATAATTAGATACTTTGTTATGTCTACAATATAAAATCGTTACACAAAAAATAACTATAAAAACAAAAAAACAAAACACTTGAAAGCAGATCTTTTGTAAGATGACAGCACTGGTGCCTCTTTTCGCTCCAGCAGATAAAATTTGGTGAGCCTGAGGCACTATGAGCGGATCACATTGATAAACATAATTAAATTTTTTTTTTTTTAATTTGAAAATTGGCAACTACGGCCGGCATTGTAAATTAAAATCTGATTGACGAATATAGTCATTAGTTGAAACTGCAACTTCATTGCAAGGAATTTCAGTGAAATATGACTAAAAAGCTTAACGAAATGGGAAAGAAAAAAAATGTGCATAAACAACACAAATAATGTTTCGGCCGGCAGCCTTTGTCAAACAAGAAGTGAACTACACAAATGTAACAAAGTATTCGGATCTCTCGGGGTGACGTGAGCAACGTTTTAAAAAATGTGATGTGAAGTAAATGAAATAAAATAATATGTATATAAAAAATACATTATTATAAAATAAAAATAAAATGAAACTTTATTGTAAACAGGTCACCCCATATTCCTGTGCCAGGAAAAATCACACAGAATATTCTTCATTGTCCTATTTTAAAAAATGTGGAAAACATTTCACTCTCAGCATTGCCATGTTGATTCTAGAGCCTCATTGTTGGTAAAACAACAACAGACCCACTGCCTCCCCAACAAGCATGTTGTAGGATTCAACTAATTGGGAGCTTCCTTCAAGTCGGAATTTGTCTGCCCGAGTGACAAGAAACAACCAAAGGCATACAGAGAAGCCAATAAAACAGATGTACACTCAAAATTCAGGCCTTGGCACTAATACCCAAGTTTAGAGTGGCCAACCATGGCTTTCTGTCAGAGCTTACAGTCAGTATACATAGAAGAAGAAGTCATAGTCCCAGCAAAATCTTGAAGTTCACACTCACACAATAAATGCATGTGATAACATCAGATATACCAGCACTAACAGTCTCCCACCAAAATTGCAGCTAACTGTTGAGGCAAGCAGTTGATCACAAAGTCAACATTTACACAAACAACACTGCATAATTACATTTCATTTTGAATGTAATTCGCCACCAACTATTTTCATTGCAGTACACAACACAAAACTGCCACAGGAACGATAACAAAATATATTCCACATAAAATCCACAGCTCACAGTGTCACACCATGCACTCAACTCTGTAGATGGTGGATGGAACTTTAGGACTCTCAGTCCAAAAATGGTGTGTGCGTTCATGCATGCATTTTGTGTGTGCGTGCGTGCACATGTGTGTAAAAATAAAGATAAAGTAATTCACTTGATGCAATGTTTCTAAATAAATTAGTTTTGTTAATCACTTCAGAAAAAAAAAGGGTAAAATTCTTTCATTTTCAAACACTCAGACACATATAAATTGAAAATAAAAATTTCATATTAACTTTTCTCTACATTTCAAAGTGGTTTTTAAAAAATGTTATTAAAAGTAAATTATTATTATTATTATTTTTTTTTAATGTTTTTTTTTTTCAAATGCTTTGCTTTTATTTGTGTTTTGAAAATGTGTTTCTCTGTGCTTGTTAACAAAAATGTTGATTCATACAATGCAGATAAAACACCCCCAGAAGTAAATTACTGCGAAGAGAGTATATTAATAACTGCTGACTACAGTCAACATCAGTACAACTCAAGTGACCTGAGATATACATTTTTAGATGACACTGATGGAACAGTACCCATCATTGAAAGTAAGTAATTATGAAAATGTTAATGTTGGCAATCTAAGTTTAGGCTGAGATTCTTATGTGCAATTTTTTTTAATTTTTGTGTAAAAAATGTAAATAGAACATATTAGGACCACTGGAAAGATCTGTGGAAGGAGGGATAGAGGAAGACAATGAGAGAAGATGCTTGGCAGTCTTGTTGCATGGCATGGAGGTGTGTCGGCACACAAACTGATACATGCTGCAGGAGATCGCAGATTATGGAGAGGCATGATCGCCCACGCCAGTCGGCAAGGCACCTGATGATGATGATAAAATATGCGTTCATGGCTGGATGACAGCGGCTTTCAGCTGTTCCAAGAGAAAGAAGATGATAAGATATTGCGTATTTTGAAATAATATAGACAAAGAATCACAGAAAAGGCACTGAAATGGAGGATCATTAATTTAAAGAAGTGAGAATGTCCAGGTGAAACAGTGAGCCACTGTAGTGTAGTGGCTTGATGCTACCCTGCATATCGTAAAGTCATTGGTTCAAATCTAAACAGAGCTATAATTTTTTTTTTTTAAATGATCATGGTTGTCAGATAAAATCTTCTTCTTCTGCCTTTCTATCCCCCAATGGAGCATAGGCCCTCAACCAACTCACGCCAAGTCGTTCTATCCTTCGCCATTTAATGGAGCTTTCCCCATGTCCTCCCCATCTTTCTAACCTCATTCTCCAGCTCTCTTCTCCATGTGTTTTTTGGCCTTCCTTTATTCCTATGTCCCTGTGGGTTCCAATGCAAAGACATTCTAGTTATGCTGTTCTCCTGTTTTCTCAGTGTGTGTCCTATCCAACGCCAGCGTCTTTTCCTCACCTCTTGGTGCATTGGAGCCTGTTTAGTTCTCTCCCAAAGTTCTACATTAGTTATTCTATTATACCATTTTATTCCCTCTATTCTGTGCAGGCACCAGTTAATGAATGTCTGTAATTTATTAGTAATTGCCTTGGTTGTTCTCCATTTTTCCGCCCCGTACAATAGTGCTGATTTGACATTAGAATTAAATATTTTTAGTATTTCTTTTGACCTCCACAAATTCCCTAGTGCTATGAAAGCCCCTCTTGCCTTTTGTATTCTTATTTTAATATCTCTGTCAATTCCTCCATCTTTTCCAGATAAAGTAATGGGAGGTAAAAGTGGCTGGCCTGATGTTGACCTGAAGGCGTGAAAAAAGTCCTTTACTTTTACTTGTGATATTAACAAAATTTTGACAAAGAGAACAGAATAGAAGAATCAGCAGAGAGGCTGATGTCACAGTAAATGGCATAATAGGGTAATCAATGATTAATTATTGTTAATTTTATTCAGTTTTCTTTCTATATCAGCGGATGTCAACCTGCCGGTCGCGACCCTCGTTTGGGTCGACTACTCTTTCACATGGGTCGCCTAAGACCATCGGAAAACATATATTCATTAAAGTTATGAAGAAAAATCATTGAGAAGGTTGAGAGCCACTGATCAGTATGTTATAAAACACACACATAACTTCTACCATCACTTTTATGCAGTATGTACAACTGTTAACATAACATTGCTAAGATCTGACTTTGTTTCACTACAGAGATAACTCTATTTACTTTAATTGTCTCAGCAGGTTACAATTACTGATATTAATTTACTTTATCTGATGCATGTAAACATATACTCACTTACTATATGAAATGTTTTTTTTTTCTTTTACAATGCAAAACAGGCCAGTTGTTTTCCTACGGTGCCTCTGATATTGCTGTCTCATCAACGGACTCAGCAGGAAACATTGGAGTGTGTATGACAAGAGCTTACGTTACACGTAAGTGTAATTAAATCTTTTTCTTATAGGCCATGCTGTGAGGCTGTGGTAGTCATGTCTATCCACAACCTTCTGTCTCATGTACTTTTTGTCAGTCCTGACACAGAAGATCTTTCATGCCATGAGTCAGATGGTTTAGAATCTTCTCTCTCAGTTTTCCTCCCACCATCATGATGAACTAATGTTCTTTCATTCTCATAACATTGCCAAATAATATAGACTGTCTTATTTTGATATGGGTACATACGCCCGTGGATTTTTATAGTGGTATGGGACGTCGCAGGTCAAACCAGCTTCAAATGGGTACCAGGAAGGGCTGTCCTGGGAAAGTAAAGACAGCCGGCATAATGCTGACCACATTACCCACCGAGTGCCAATTGATTGGTCTGTAAAAATATGGGTGCTCTTCTCATATGCCCAGTGCGCCTAAGGGATTGTAAAGGGATCTTTACCTTACTTTTTACATCCCTCCATGAGGCAATTTTTTTTTTTAAGACATTGTTTTTATTCCTTTTAAAAAATTGTCCAGGGTGTTTTTTTCATTAGCCATAAAACCTCATCTTCAGTGTTCCAAATAATGTTTTACTAATCGACCAACCACCCTTGATTACCAGTAGTAGGACCAGATATTTAATCTCCTCAGAATTCTCTTTCTCATCTTAGTTGACAAAGAAAGATTGCACAGATTAATCTTCATTTTTTTGTAATGCAGCTTTGCTTGAGCTATTGCATATTTATTTTGATTAGATCTTTATAATTATAATATTATTATTTTATTTCACTATTTAGTGGGGGGGGGGGGGATTTATATATTCTGATTATGAGATCTGCACGGCCATACACATGACTGGTCAGTAGGAAGAAGCAGTGGCTGACCACCACACAGTTTGATAATTGATATTGGAAACATCTTGGGCATAAACAGAGAAGTGTCAGTGGATTGAGAGAGGTTCTAACAAGTCAAGATGTGCAGCTTTCTGCAAGGGACCTGACTGAACAGACTGTCAATATTAAACAAAAATATGTTTTTGATGAACTGCTAAAGGCAGAGTCAGACCCAAGACTTTTGGGCCAGCAGGTTAACAACTAGCCATGATGCCACTGCTGCTCTCAGTTCATTTATTTACTAACCAAAATTTTGTAAGTAATTCACAAGCTCAAGTCTGGTTTTCTTCTTTATCTCATCATAACCTGTCTTGTCTTATTCTGTCCTGTTTCCTTTCATTTTATACCCCACCATGACATCACACAAGCAATAAACATCCGATGATACAAAGTACCACCATGCGGATGAGGATCACCCGTGTAGGTCCCGGAAACCGCGTTTAGCCATTAGGCCATATTTATGACCGGGCTATATTGCAGCCCCTGACAAGAGCCAGAGTATGGCTTCAAATAACGAAAAATTGCATCCCACAAAGTGACAACTGTGCTGATAGGTAGTATTCAATTCTGTCCTGGCATTTAGGTCGCCCATACTTCTCTCTTACTGTTCTGATGTTCCCCTGCTTTTTTATTTCAAATTATGGCATTATATTGTTACATTATGTGTTCTTTACATTTCTACGATGTCTCTCATTGAGAGATTTTAGCATTTTTAACTAAACATTCAGTTTTACGGAGGGAAAGAAGTAAAATGACTGAATACTTTAGGCAGAAAATCAGCATACCAACAGCAGTGAAGATCACTTGAAAATGTTGTATGTGTTTGCAGCAACAGGAAGAGGATATAGGCAGGTGTATTGATGGTTTCTCACTCTAAAAGTATTCTTTTCTTCCCATCAGAATCAGGCCCCAGAACCCACACACCGACTAGCAAAGCAATAAAACATGTTCACTTTCATTTATGTGTCCAAACTCCCATACAGCAAATCAGTGCATTGACACCGAGCCATCATTTGCTGCAAAATGCTCTGACAACATGGATGGAAGGAAGGTGACTTGCCCACCTGGCATGCTGCCTAGTGTTCCAACACCCAACTTTGTCTCCTGTAGCAAACTGTTGACTTACAATCTGGATAATATGTATGAGAAACCTGATAGAATTGTTTGTGGAGGTGAGTTCTTTTACGTGAAGTTAATACTTCAGCTGAATATTGGATCTGTATTTATTGCTTCTTCTTCATTCATTTCTTTATGACTAGAAAGTTGGTCTATGATATGTGAAAACATTAAATGTTAAATTATTGAAGCTTTAAAATGGAAAGTAAAATGATTTAACCACGCCTTCATCTTTTCATGCTAATAAATTAAGAAAGTTGTTAGTTAATGGTAAAATTGATGGGAAAAGTGTTTTTATTTTTAAAAAAACTGATGCTCAAATGAATGGAATATGGAGGTTTTTTTTATTTTCAATTTTTTTTCTTCAATTTTTTTTTAATTAATGGGAAGGGGAGTGGGGCAGGGGTGTTAGTCGAACGGTAAACCTTAGAGAGCATGGAAATAGAAATGTTACAGATCTATCATGTAGCCTGATTAAAAAATGTGAATATACATCTACAGATGAGCAGATACATATACCAATACAGATGAGTATTCCTTCTGTTCTTTTTTCATCTTAAAACACAGTACTCAAGAAGAAGAAATACTGTTTGTGACTTTACTTTTCTTTTTAACCTGAAGATCTAACAGTGATTTGCTCTTCCTTTTTGTAAACATTATTTTCTTTATTTAAAAATATATAAACTGACACTTTAGAGATCTTGAATCAAATTTTTTTGAATTCTTCTTTAAAATATGATGACACAGTGTCTAAGAATTTTATTTTCATTAAAAAATAGAAGTTAAGTAATAAACGTCTTTATGCTGTTCCTAAATGCAATTTTACATGCACAAGCATATACACACATATGCCCATATAAACACACAAATAAACAACCCCACATGCTTGCAAATACCTTCACACACAAATAAATAACTGTTGTTGATGTTTGTAAAGTACACCAGTTTTAACTGCCTGCTTTTACATTTTTCAGACAAGAAACTTGTTTCTGTGTATGTGAACATACTGCTCCATTACACATTAGTAATAAGCTGTGATGAAGATTTGGAAATTGAAGCCAAAGAGCACTTGGAATCCATAATAATGACCCTGAATAAAAGGTGGATTGGCTTGTGCAGTGACTCAGTCTGTAGCAATGTGATTGTTAACGGAACATGTACAGGTTTTGGTTTGGATGCTCTTATACAGATTATCGGTTTAAAGTGAGTGTGCTTTTAACTTCCGCAAATAGTTAAGTAACTTTAATTATTTATTTCAAAAAGTCTACATTATGTAGCAGGTGTTTTGGAAAATGATGCTCTCATTATGGTGCCAGAAAGCCAGTGGCTGCCATGCTAACTTTCCTACCCTATGAACTTTCAACCCAGGAGTCTCTTGATCCCTGCTTACTGAAGTCAAAGCAAATAGCTTGTACAGAAAATGCCTAAACACAATCAACCCAACACCGTCATAGCATACACATCAGTATTTAATATCATTTACCATAAGCGGTAGGCAGTTAGCCTCAGATGTGGCTCGCAAACCTTACCCCAACCAGCGGATAGGCTTTATAATCACCACTCACACACTGGCCGTCTAGTTGTTCCAGTAATTAGCAGGGTCTGAAACAACAGCCTCCAATCCAAGCTCTTTCCTGCGCTTTTGCACCTAATACTGGGAACTGTTCTACTGCATGGCTCTGGATAGTGTGAGTGGACAGACCCTGTCACTTAACCAGACAAATCTTTTTTTTTTTTTGGCGAACCACCTCGCTAACATACAGCTGAATACCTGATTGAATACCAATATACCTAAACACAATGGACTATATCTCTAAAACACAGACTATCGCTTAAATTATACAGCGGTCAAGCTAACATGTTATCTTAAACTGCCTGTCGCTAACTTAAGTCAAATATGGAAACAAATAATGATCAAATGCCACAAGTCATGTCCAGGTAGCACAGACCCAACCAAAATTTAGGAAACAGATTGAAAGCTCCAGGGTGTGTTGGTTGAAAGGCAAATGTTAGAGAGCATGGTAATAGTACAGTATAGCAGATCTATCATACAGCCTGATTGATAAATGTGAATATACACCTAGAGACGAGCAGATACAAATACCAACACAAAAATACAACTAATCTTTTCAGTTATAGTTTTTTTGGACACCACATTTAAATGTAGATTTTATCTCATATTGCTCTTCACTATTACGAATTTTATTTCGTGTAGAAATGATATTTCAATTGTAACAAGTATCCAAGACATATCATTTTGTAGCAGAGATGTTTCTCACCATGTAAAGACTTTTAAAGCTGGTTCTGATACAATGAAATTCTATTACAGTGAAACTTCCAAAGGACAAAACTGCCATGGATGAAACTGACTTTTTGGGACACAAAATGTTCAAGTTTTTTTTTTTTTTAATCAACAAGACAGTTATTTTGAACATTTGGATTTAAAGATCCCCTCTACCAAAAAGTTTGTGTAAAACAGATGTACACAAAAAACTCAAGTTTTGGAACATGGCATAAGTCCAGAAGGGGATAAACAACTAAAACTTTCTTCCGGAGTTTACATCTGGTGTCAGTAGCAACAATCATCACTATATACGGATGATGATATGCGCACCTAGACCCGATTTGGAATCGTCATGCCCATAGAATCTGAGTTCCGGAAAATCTTACTTCTGGCCTGCCCTTTCATTTGCCGTGAGCGGACAACGCAGATTTTCGGAGATTGTTAAGCCATTAAACATCAGGCACAATCTCGCGAGTTTAAGGGTGGTTTTCATTTAGACAAAGGAGCCCGGCTGTGCCACGACATACCGCACAACAAAGTGGAAGACAGATCTACAATTGTGTAGTGTAAGCCACTGGATGGCAAATTGTTCATTATGGCAAGGCCAAAAGTGACTCTGAACACTATTAATTATTAGCAACTTTGAGTTGAATTTTAAGGACCTTAGCCCATATATCACTGTTGGCACCCAGGCCTGGAAGATAGTTTTAATTCGTGAGGAGCAGCCAGACGGCAGACTGGATCACCGAACACTGTCATCTACCAGAAACATCAGATGACTGTTTTGCCCCACTAGCCTAAATCTGCCTACGCCAACTAACTTCTCACCGAGGAAGAAAACTTATATTAATTTTTGACAATCACATAATAGCTTATCAATTATTACATTGTATGATTGTAACTGTTTACCCACCTCGTCTAGTCTTGTTTACTACGGTGAGAGTGGGCTTGGAGAGAAAGAGTTTGAAAGATACCTTTCTCATCCTTTCATTACTTATATTACTGGAGCTCAGGTATCTACTGATAGGAGTGTGTGCGACAGAAGAACTAGACTAGCCTGAGCTTTCTACATCCAGAGCTAGTCTTACCTTTCTGACTCCTGTCACATGACCACGTCACAGTCTCTTATACACGGGGCCATCCCCCTAGTTTCATAACATTTACGAGCCAAAATTTATTGAGACTGCGGATGCTGTCATGAGTAGGGAAGTCTTAATACTATAGACCTCTCTTATATATATATATATATTTGCATATCGCCACAGTGCCTTGGAATTTCATGTATCATTTGTAACGCCTAGACCACAGATGCTGTCACAACAGTATAACACTTAAAATTAGTGCTGAAATTGTGAAACCTTTTTTTTTTTTTTTTTTTTGATACCAGAAGAATGTTGCATAGGAGATGCCAAAGACGAAATATCCGGGAAGAAACGTCAGTGCAATAATCTCAAAAACAGCAATATAACAGTAGTAGTGATCTTTAGATCTTTAGATAAAGCCAGATTTCTTGAGTGTGAAAAGAACATATTAAGCTGGGGAAAGGATTCAACAGCTAAAGTGATTCACACATTGTGCGTTGTTCGTGACTACAATTTAGTATAAACGAGTATATTAAAATTATAACAGTGGTGGATTTTGTATACCAGGTTAGTGCTGCAAATTGTAATGTTATTGTAATTAGGTTGTTTGGGATTTTACTAGGTAATTTTATGTTCTGTAGTTTTGCATATTATAATACTGTACAATTTACAACACAGAATGTAAAAACAGTAAAAGTAAAGGAATCTTCTAACTGAGCATTTCCTTTAATTAGAAGAGCATTTTGCCAGCAGTGCAAGCAGCAAAGAGTCTGCATATGAATACGTAAGATCTGAAAGAAAAAAAATTACATTCTGGAACAAAATCAAATTCCAGGAGGGAACAAACTGCTAGAACTTTTCATCAGGATTTACAGCCAATAAATGCGAAGAAAAATGAGAAGTGGGCATTTGATGTCAGACTCATATTTTTATAAACAAGTCAACACATCCATATGGCTAGGGGGGGGTCAACATCATGCTGGCCACCTTCACTTCCTATTGCATTTATTTGTACCGATGTTCGTCTGGGTGGACTTGGAAGCCTGGTCGATATTTTTTTGGGGTAACAAATCCGCTTCAGGATGGATTCAAACATATGGCATATGGGCTGGCTGGCAAGCCTAGCAACTGTCCTCAGCAGCCCCTAAAACTCTGTATGACTACAGATAAAGAAGACTGTATCAAGCCTAGATATCTTCAATTTACTTATAGAATTTCCCTCATTTATCTTTTATTTCACAGTGCATCTCAGAGTTCATCAGGCTATCTGAAAGTTCCAGCTCTGAAGTTCTTGAAAGACAGTGTGGCTGACAAAACTGTCTTTGATATTTCAGTTAGTAATCTACTTTGCTTTTCATTAACTATTATTTTATTTTATTATTTTATTATCTTGAAGGATTTAAGAGAAAATGGCTTATTCAATATACAATAGTTATGTACCATGGCAAATGAAATCATTTGAGCAGCTTAAGTCAACACAGATATATACCGAATAAAAATAAATGTAAAGATTCTTTACTTCTTCATCCTTGGCCTTAAAAGGGTTAATGTCATTTTTTGCAGCTAACTATCTGCATCTTTCACCCTTAATTAGTCGCCTTACATTCATGATATTCTTCTCTTCTGTCCTTTATCCCTCAATGCAGAGTTTGTCATTAACCAACACATATTAAAACCGTGTCCTTTGGTATCAGATGCAATTCATCTTATATTCCCCTAATATTTTAAGTAAATTCATTAAATCCCTTCTCAAAGTTTTTTTGGGGTTTCTTT